AGGACCCTCTGAACCTTCTGTCCTCCTCTTTCCCACTGGCCCTAGGTCACAGAAACGGGAGGCCCTCTCCCCAAAGCCAGCCCTAAAACCTGGAYACAGAACTCTCGCCTTCTCTCTTGAAGGCCCTCATCTCAGACGAAGGAAGTTGGATCAGAGGCCAAGGGGCCTCTTGTGGACAGGGCTGGCTTGCCCTTTAGGTTTTGTCCAATCCACTGTGTTTCTACACAGCGTCCCCGCTTCGTGGAACTAAGCCCAACAATAGACTGTTTTCTCTGGTCTCTGGGTCTTCTTTCCTGAAGGATCCGGGTCCCACAGAACTTCAGTCAAATAGATCTGCTACACTTTCCTCTTGTTAATCTGTCTCTGACACAGGGTATCAGTGTGACCATCTKGGCGGTCACATCATTTGGCTGCTTACGTCATGGCCCCTAAAGCATCCTCAAGCTCGCCTCCCTTGAAGGCAACCAGTGATATTTATTGGGCACCTGCTGTGTGCCCCCTAGGCTATTAGGTCAACATTATCCCACCCTTTACAGATGAGGAAACTGAGGCTTGGCTTCCTGGGGACACCAAAGTGACACCCAAGCCCAGGGCCATCTGGTTACAAAGCCTGGTTCTGTCTACCAAGTTGGGGACTTCCCTACGGGCCCCACCTGCCATTCCCTGGTGTCACTGGCTCCCTGGGGATAGAGCAGGTCCTGTTGAACTAGCAAGACGGCTTCGTCCTGCACTCAGAACCATTCGGGGCATTCCTGAATCAAGGAGAGACAGGATGCCCRMAGAAGGCAGGGAATTATAAAATACCCGGGTAGTGAACAGGGCTTGGGATGTGGGGACATTTCCTCTCTCCTTTCTCCCTTACTTCTTCCCCTTCTCCTTCTTCCTCCTCCATTTTCTTCTTTACACGTGCATAAGAATAAAGATGCCATGGGGTGGTGGTGGGGGGGTGGCCGGCAATCCCAGCAGCTCTCAAGGCTGAAGCAGGAGTATCATCACAAGTTCAAAGTCTGTATCAGCAACTTGGTGAGGGTCTAAGCAACTTAATGAGACCCCCGACTTAAAATAAAAAGGGCTGGGGATGTGGCTCAGTGGTTAGGCACCCTTGGGTTCAATCCCTGGTACCGAAATCAATCAATCAATAAATTGGGCTGGGGCTATAGCTCAGTGGTAGAGCACTTGCCTCACATGCATGGGGCCCTGRGTTCAATCCTCAGCACCATGTAACAGTCAATGAATAAAGATATTGTGTCCACCTACAAATTTTTAAAAAAATTCAAAAATCAATCAATCAATAAAGACAGCTAGTGAGTGCCCAGCAATCCATCATTTACAGTATTCCCCTGGCACCTGACTATGCTTGCATGTAAGAGGTGGTTGTCATCCACACTACCCAGAGGCACTGTCCCACATTCCCCAGCTCCACCGGAGGCAGGGGGGAACTTCACAGCACAAGAGAGTAGCTGCTCCATTTCTAGGCGCTGATGGGAACTAGAGAAGCTACAGCAAATTAGGACTGTGGGGGACCAGACGTGCCCTTTGGCAGATGATCATCATGGGCTGGTTATCTGGAGAAACTACAGATACTGGAAAAGCTTGGGAACAGGGAGCTGTTTTTTGCAAGGGAAATTTACATCTGTAAAGGAAATCGCTTGCCCTCTCTGCTCTAGTKTGTCTGTGCCAGACCCTCAGAGCCCCTGGAATCTGCACAACAAAACTTTTGTTTGCTCCCCCCTGCCCCCCTTTCATAAGCCCCCCCCCCAACTCACTCCCCTTTTCCTTTCCCTGATGAGGCGGGAGAAGGCCTGGCACCTGCCAGTCAAGTGCCCCACGCTGAGCCACGCCCRGCCTTCTCCACCTTCTTGTTGAGGGTTAGGCTTCACGACCTCAAAGCCACATTTTTGAGACTGATTCGATTCTCTGAGTGTCTCCCGTGTCCGCACGAGCTGTACCTGTCGTAAACTTCAGTCTGCTTCTCTCTTGTCACTCTGTCTTGTCTCAGGGGTCCTCACCAACTCACAACAATGAAGGGTAAAGAGAAAATGATTTTCTCTCCTCTTYGGGACTCCTCAGGACTTATCAGAAGGGGCCCATGTGGCCTGCCCAGGACAATCCCAGTCCCCAGTACATGTCCCCAGTCAGCCCTGGGGCTGCCTGCACAGCCTCCAGGTCCCCACCTCCCTGGTCCCCGCCCTGGAGTCCATCACTACCTTGTCCCCAGTGCCAATCCAATATTGAGGAAGAAAAAAGRGAAAAGAAGTTTTATTGCTTTGCTAGCCAAGGAGCTCAGGGGACTGTYCCAAAGGCTGGGATTCTGCCYACCAGGGGGAACSGRGGCTTTACAAGTGATCCAAAGTCCACATTCCAAGTGSTCTCTGTTCAGGGTTACAATTCACTTGTTAATTTGGGAGACAGTCATCTCTGAGATCTTCTGGTGCCT